CTTCTTTTATTTTATTTTTTAACGATTAAAAAGAAGTACGATTTAGTTAAAGCTAAAAGTACAGCTTATCATCTGACATCTATAGATTTGTTGATCTGTTTATGAAGGTAAAGTGATTTAAGAGAGCAATTTCCCAGCGAACTCACCTGCTGCGGACCACCGCCCGACTTTGAGCTCTATATTCCATCGCCGTACACAGTATGTACTAATCTACCAGCACTCTCTACGCTATCAAGCATTAGCATCTATACATCTGACCAACAGGACCAGCCAGAACACGGCGAGGTGCGGAGCAGACATATTTGAAAACGGCAACGGAAAGAACCGCTTGCTTTCGTTCTGGTAAACTCGAAACAGTTGTGTTACTTGGACGGAGTGCGCTGCGAAAAACTAGATGCTGCGATGGCGCGTATCTTTATCTTGCGCAGAGTGACGTGGGGAGTGGCGGCTGCGAGTCTACGCGCCTAAGCGGCTCATTACATTGAAACTACAGTACGTGTCCAGTTCCTGGTATATGCTAGATTTAATAAATTTTGGTGATTTTACCTGCTCGGAGCTGTGAGCCATCAATTCAGAATGACAATTTTATTTAGCCATTCGTTTGAAATTTGTATGCGTTAAAATGAAGTAACATATACCAAAGATGCCCCGAATTTATCCCTTTTCGTACTACGTGACCGCAGCACCACGAGGATCATAATTCTACTGCCCAGTGGTGGTGAAAACTGTCAAGGAGGGCCCCACAGCAGAAGATTCGTCCTTAATAAAGCTGAAACCGAAGTGTAATACAGCCCCTCTTGTTACTTTACTAACATGCATAATTTTGAAATAACTGTTAATTACAAAATAGTTAGTGACTAACTCATGTCAGTACAGTACAGTACTGTACAGACATACGAGCACCCACACAGTAAGTGTGGGGTATTGAGTCAATAGTTCATGATACACGATTTCATATTTTTGAAAAGTAAACATTGGTATAAAATGCCTTCAACCGTTTGCTAATAAGTAATAGTACTGACAAGCGGTTTGTTTACTTTTCAAATATATGAAATCGTGTTTCATCAACTTCTTAGCCAGTCAACCAGGGCCATCGAAGATTTGCCTCGTGTGCCATGTTTTTTCTTCGAGGTCCCCGTGCGCCAATGAGGAGTTGGCGGCACTAGTGAGTCGTGGTGGCGGGCAACAAGAACGTGGCTGACGCCGTCGGTGTAGCCCACAGGCAAAGTGCGCTGAAATTTACGAAGTCTTAGTCTGTGGTGCTGTAGTCATAAATCAAAATCATACGGTATTATTCGCATCGTAGAGCCAGACGAAGTTGCTGTATTCCTAAAATTAACAGAAAGGGTGTTAATGTTGGGTGGTACTAAAGTTTGTAAAGCACGGGTGAAGAAAACCTGAGGCAGCCGTTTGAGAGGTACGGATGTCGCTGGTTTTTGTACTTGTAATCTAGATTGTCGTTATGTTACATCTAAAGTATGATCCACTAGACTTCGCGCATCATCTGTGTGATGTGTGGCGTTTTGTCACCGTGCTCTGCGTTATAAACATCCAGCCGAATGCTAATAGTGGGCACTGCATATCTAGCCGTCATACAATGGTTTATTAATAGCGGTGGAATCGATAGAGCTAGCTCTGTTGAACCCACATCAACTAAAAGGGTGTTTGTTGATCCGCGAAATTACATACTTGTGCAATTAAAAACCCTACTACTACCCTCAACGCATCTTTTACAGAAAATGGGTTTCCAGTCCATATTTGCCAAATCGTCCAACAGCATTTGCGGTATTTTTTTTCATAAGTGAAAAAATCATTTTTTTACCTTCCAAAGCTTAAGATTGGAGCTACTAGAGTGTCCGAAGCGCGGGGCACCAGTGAGCTTGGTCCGCCTTCGCAAAGCAAGACTTTTAGCGCACCTCGCTCGCCTTAGTTGGTACCGTGCGTCGGCTAGGTGACTAGCATTACCTGGCGTGCCAGCTAAATTAACTTCGCTCTAATAAATTGGTTTTCTTTTTGTGGACGTACCGGCCAGAATATATATATATATATATATGAACCGGATAGCCACTCCATTCCGGCTTTTATCTCGGTTCATCTTCACAAGCACAGCTGTCTTTTGCAATCTCGATGCCGTTATGTAGTCAGTGGGTCATTGTGATCTGCGTTATCCCTGATTAGCGCCGTCCCCTTTTGATTTTATAGAAATATTTTACCTGCGATCAGCAATTCCAGAAGCGACATCCATGATGGCGTGGAATAGCACTTCGAGAGTTACTGGCACTAGCATAGAAGAAAGTGAATCTCTCTAAAGGAAAGAGAAATGTTCGCACGTCGTTTAACAGTAAACGAAAACTCTGTTATTCGAAGCACCATAGGTCGCCGAAGCTTTAGATGCCTTTAACATGTTGGTACTGGAAATCTCATAGGCGCTATTAAACTGATTCCGGTCAGTTTTGCCTTTTGGAGCGTTAAATGAAGCTGATAACATTCAAGAACAGCCACCTGGAATGTTACTAAAGGTGGGATACCAGCCGGTTTAAATTTTGACACAAGAACTCGTTGAATAACCACGATCAGAGAAGCGAGCAAGTAAAGATTTGAAGAAGGAAAAACTGTACGCGTGCCTGTGCACTGCAGAGATTGCCATTTACGGTACGGTATCTAATGCTACAGCTTTCAACATCATTTTCCTTTCCACCCACTCGACAAACAATCTCCTGGCAGTGAACTTAACAATGCGATTCAGTGTCCTCGTTGGTCTGCTTATGGTCGCCTTGGTCGGCTGCTGCTACAGTTTTGCAAGTGGCGAGAGCTTTCCAGTTCCCCCCAACGAGGACGTTGATGGCCGCCGTCTTCAGAATAAAAATATTGCAGAAGCGGCTACTCATTTTATCTCCGGGCAGATTGACGGCCACTTGCTAAAGAAAGCCGGGAAGCTGGTCAACGCTGCTTAAGGAGACGAAGCTGCCATCGCCAAATCTCTAAATTTGGCTGCTGCAGCGAAGGCCGCTGCGAAGCTCTCTGATGATGAAGTTGCCACGATATCAGTTTTAGTGAAGGAGGCCAGGGGAGACGACGCTCATGCCATGAGATACATCCTTGGTTTCTCTCAGAAGGAAGGCAAGCATCTCACAGACGAATCTACAGCCAAGGTGGCAGCTAAGATTGCGGATACTGTGGCGAAGAACCCGAAATCTTCGTCCAGCCTCCGCAAGTTTGCCAAGATTACTCTTGGTGCTGCTGCCGGTGGATTGGCCATGTACGGGGCTTACAAGCTATTGTTTGACAGAAACACAGAAGCCGCGGCGACTACGACGACGTCAGGTTAGAGACAATGATGGTGGTCCTGGTCACTGTGTTGGCGACCAAACAGATTGGTTACGATAGGAATGAGAACAGTGACCGGTTTACTTCCATAAACTCGGTAATTGCGTTTTATTCCTCCGTCCCGATTCGAGATAACCACAAAAGAGTCGCTTTGGTGATGCTTTTTATAAATTCAAACGGAACCCGTTCTGCCCAGCTCTACTTCTTACATATATATGTAATTTATTTTCATCGTTCTAGGCGAGCTTACAGGATTTAAGTGAAGACGCGAGACCATAGGTAAGCTTAAGACTTCGGGCTCCAGATAAATAGCTCTCGGATTCTAACTCACATGCTGCAGCGTGGAAAAGCCAACAAGGGGTTTAATTGGTTTATCAGGCTTAGATAAACAGTGAAGAGAAGGTGCTACTGTAGAAGCAAGGTTTTTTAACAATGTTTAGGCGGGAAAAACAATGAAGCTCGAGCTTTGGGAGCCAAGTTTAGAAATAGGGCTATTTGATGTATCCAAATGCATTTTGTAGTTGTCAGATTGGACTTTAGCCGCAATATCAGCACAACTATAATACATATTTTACACGTCCGAGATGACAGTGATGATTACAGAACTGTTTTCCGCATAAGTGCCCCTCCTCGTCCACGGACCCCTTCGTAGGTTTAGAGAGCACTAGAGTGGTCTTTTGTTCTTTCTTGTGATATTTTGTGTATCTTAGCAGTCAATGAGGGTATGCAACATTTGTTACGTAGTCGATGAGCACTTTGCGTCATTGGAGTGGTCAGACCATTCTTCTATCGAGGTAAGTGGATGAACAGGATAATAACCCTTAAGTACCTACCACGAGGAACCATTTACAGAAACAAAATCATGGAAAGCTCCAGATTTCCTACAGAGCTAAAGGAACGAAGCACTATATAAATGCTGGCTTCTTCCCACACGGTGCAGGATATTCTAAAGCGCCCTGCCGAAAAATCTAGGAAGCGCACTATTAAGGTCCATGTCTACTTGTAATTCTTGCGAAACTCAACACTACCCGATTAAGTTTCCATGTATCAGCGTACGATACAGATGAACCCTTCCGTATTTCATATAATACCTGCTCGTGGAATGACCGCCGAAAGGAATAATAGATCGGGTCTCAAAGTTAAGCAGGCTACAAACTTTTTTAAGATAGGTTTCCCTCTCATCACTTAATTGAAATATGGAATAAAAAAACCAAAATTACTCTTCTGAGGTACTTAAATATGGGGAAGCCACTATGGTGCAGCCCGTCCGAAGTAGTCAAACAAGGTAGAACATCGAGTACGATAATGTTTTTGTCCTACAGACCACTCTGGCCAATCCGCGACCGAAACCGTACAATATTGAGATGACATCGCTATCTTCACGCAATATGAGACGATGTTATATATTACTTCGTATTAAATTTTAAAATTCATTAATTTGTATACCGGTAACTAGTATTGCACTATTATTTCTTAGCACAAATAATCAACTGCCCTCCCAGGCCAAAGCAACGGCTCTAGTTTAGCCTCACCATCTAGTTTTAGAAAGCGTATCGGCACTTTAGCCTAATTATTCCCGACGTCACTCTGTTTACCAACGACAAGATAATATAATTGAAATTTGTTATAGCTTCCTAATTTTGGGTACAAAAGAACAAAATTGTGGGCGCCTCTCACTCAAACGAGAAAGGCTCCAGGTCAAACGAGATTTCGCGTTTAGTCTCGCTTAAGACTACATACACCATGTCCCCCATCTTCAATGTACCCGCAACGAAGCGCTGGTAATGCAGCGTCATCGACACGACCGAATGATGGTTCATGCAGCTGGTGGACGCAGTGGTGGCGACTTCTAGTAAGTCTATCCTCGCCTCCGGCATGGTTGGGTACGCCCTCTGTACAAATATGCGCTCTCTGTGCTCCGCTAGGTATTAATATTATGCTTTAACTCGCGCCTTAAAGACGCTAAACACCCTGATCATAACAGCTTCGTACCGTTAGTAATTAAGAGCGTCTCTGTCCTCCGAGAGCTCTTAAGCACTAATTGGGTTTGCGTACGAAGGACTTGTGTAGTTGTGGCGAACGGAGGATGCGAAATGTAGGCACTTGTAGTTAGGCCACTTAAGACGTAGATGGCGGATTCAGAAGTGAGCACTGCTTTGGTGCTTTCATCTTCCACATTGAATCCTTGTATTTTGGTGAGTCAAAGTCTAACTACTGTCCACCCAACCTTTGCTGTACCCAGCTTCGACAATCCAGTCAAATCTCAGCAGTCGTAAATGCTCTCCCGCAGTCAGTAATCCAACTCTTTCAGATTTACAAGTTTACAAACAGACAGCTTTGTGGAGCACGCCTCCACAAAGCACATGCATCAGTCACCCACAGATACAGACGTCACACGTTCCGCGCATGCGTATACGTAAGCAGTCACCGCGACTACCTCCTGAGATCCTATCAATCCAACGTCTCGTGGCATCCTCGCGATCGACGCGATTCAGCGACGTGACGAGCTGGAACCTTCTGGAACGCGCTGGATCTCTCATACTCCCACTTGCGCGGAGTACTGCGCCCCGTTCTGCGGTGTCCTGCTAATGCATTCTTGACACCCTTGCTTCCGTGATCTTTCCTACCACATTTTGATGTTCTTGCATCCCTTGATGTTTAGGATGCCATCGGGTTTCCCCGATGTTAACGACGACCCGAATTCCACGTGTACGATGACATCCTTGTGCAAAATTACAGTGGTTACGACACAGTTGTCGCTCACCTCTTTCGTGTGTGAGCTCGCAAGCCTCACATCTAGTCGGCCTTCTCCAGCTCCTCCTGCATGTTCACCAATTCATTCCGCACATCCTCAACGCTGAGCTTCGATGGAGATACTCAAAACGTTGAGGGCTTTCGTCAAGATATCTGCCACATCCTCTGTGGTTGATACGTACCCTGACCTCCACCACTCCATCATCCACAAACTCAGCGATCATCCATTTCTCCTTGGCGTAGCGCTGTACCCGTTTGCTGTTACCACGATTGGCAATGACCTGTATGGTGCTCTGGTTATCGCAATTGACAGTAGACACTCCCTGTGCACCAGCAAGTTCGCTGAGAAGCTGTCGCGCCCAAACCAGATTGTCCACGCGTGCGCTGGCTGCCACCAGTTCCGATGCGCACGTGCTCTTCGTGACACGACCCTGCTGTTTGCCTTTCCACATCCACGTAAGTCCTTGAAGGTGGAGTACAAAGCCCGTATTGGTGTGGCTAGTGTCGCAACCAATCGCGTGGTCCGCGTCTGAAAACGCATCCAGCGTCAGTAGTCCTCCCACGGATCGATAGACCATTCCAAATGCTTGTATTGAGCATGTATCTCACAGCTCTCATAGCTATCTTGTAGTTGTCCTGGGTGTATGCTCCATTGTAACGACCAAGAGCACGTACTACAAACGCCATATCCGAACGGGTCCAAGCTACCAAGTATTGGAGCGAGACAACGACCGCCCGATAGGGTAGCTTGTTGTTGTTGATCTTATGATTGTCCATCTCCGTAGCTGGTATCTGTTTGATGGGCTGCTGGGGAGATTTAACACCTCTCATGTTCTGCATGGTGACTTAGCCGCCACCTTCTCTATGTACGCCGTCTGTTACAAACACGCAATCACACCTGGAATGAAGTTGATCTCCATACCGAGTAGAGGTTTCGAAATCCACATGTCTACAATCGAAACCTAGCATCAGCGACAGGTTAAGTACAAATTGAACGGGCTCGGTACGTACTACCGGCAAATAAGTCGCTAATTAGTCGATCCCATACTTCGGTAGGAAATCACGAATCGCAAGCTGTGCCTTGAACTGCACAAGTCCCCCCTTTCGTTTTTTCTAGACCACCAGGACCCATAGCGATGTGAGGATGTTCACCTTTGTTTGGTGTCAGTTGTGGAACAAATTCCCACGTCGCGCTCTTCATCAAACTGCCATTTTCAATATCCATGGCCCGTCACCATTCTGTAGCATAGTCCGATGTCAGAGCATCCTGCACTGTTGTCGGATATAGTAAAGTTCACCATTCCAATCAGCATGCACTGCATGATGCTAGTCGCCATGACCAAGTTATTTGGGCTGAATCGACTATTCGGTCGTCTCCGCCGTTGGAAACGCCGAGTTGGTAGCGGTGGTTGCTGAATTGCTGGCTGCTGCTGTCGTGGGCGTCCTGCCTGTTTTATGTGGTCCAGTATGAACGGCTGACTGTGGTGGTATTCCTGGAGCTGCTTCCCTTGGTGGTGAAACAGGCGCACTGCACCTTCATCCACAACGCCTCCTCCGTCATCACTCGAGCTGCTGCCTTCCGTCGAGTCACACGGACGCCGTTTGTTTTCTGGCTGGTGATCGCCACCCTCACCACCCGACATCACCTCATCATCATCGAATTCGCTGTGATCATCCGAGCTTGGAATCTACTCATGATCACGTATACCACCGACTGGTATGGGAACGAACGGCACATTTACGAGTAGCTGAACCTTGCGACCTTCATATTTCTTGGCCAAGACCTCTAACAGGTACCTGCTCTCTACCGTGATATCTTCACGGAAGGAGACATCGCGTCTCTTGATCAGCTTGCCACTACGTACGTCCAGTAGTCGATATCCAAGCGACTTGGTCGCATATCCTATAAAGAGCGTCGGCACTGTCTTCGGACTCAGCTTGTGCGACCTTTTCGCCTTAGGAACATGTGCAAATACTACACATTCACAGAATCGTAGATTACGAACATCTGACTTCCGACCGGTGATCATCTCGAAGCCTGTGACTTCACCACGCACCTTGGTGGGGCTCAGGTTACCCACTTCCACCACAAAGAGTAGTATTTCACCCCATAGCGGCGTAGGTAGTCCTCTATACAAGATGTCGCTAATACTGAGATGCGTCGCTTATCGGATTGCTCAAAAATTGTCGAATAGGTTACCATTCCGTTTCTCGGCCAGACAATTCTCCTCCGGCGTGTAAGCGTTCGGCATCAGAAGCTGGATCCCGTGCTCCATTAGTAGCTTAGTCAGCGGCGCTTGTTGATGAACCCCTTTCCTCGGTCACAGGAAAACGGCTTGATCACATGCTCACGCTCCAACTGCAATATCAAGTTCATCACGTTTACAGATGCCTCGTCCTTGGTGCGCAACAAGAAATACCACTTGTACCTCGACGCTTCGTCATGCATTAGCAGGAAGTAGCGATTGCCACCCATGGCCTCAAGCCCCCCCCCCCGTAGCATACATCAGACACTAGTCGTTCGTAGCATACCTTGTTGCGCTTATTGTGTCGTTTGTAGAACTTTCGCTTCTGCTTGAATTCCCTTTTGCCACTTGCCTGCTGATGTTGCTCCCGCTTCTTACCGCTTGCTCCCTAACTTGCGGTATCTTGGCTCGTTCTTTGCCCTTAGTGGCGACGACAACTTTCCGTTGATTGTCAAGTTCAGTCACACGGCGAGATGTGTTTAGCACTTCCTGCAACTCCGGACGCTACCACAAAGCACATCCTTGTCGTACATGCTATCTACACCTCGGAATTCGAATGCAACACCTTGCATTACGTTCTTCACCATCTCATCGTCCGCGATGGGATCATTCATGTTTCGAAGTTGCCGTCGCATGTGCTCCAGTTCGTCGAGATATGACTCCATGTTTATGTTTGCCGTGTAGGTGTAGGAGTTCTGCTTATTTCTCAACATCAACGCCTTCGAGAAAGCACGCTTAGTCTTTTCAAGTTCAAACGCATCCCACATCTCGTGAGCGTTGTCGAATCTGCAGATTCGGGACGAGTCCTTGGTGAGCACGCCACGTAGTGTTGCGTCACGCGCGAACACATCGCGCTCATCAAACTGTCGCTGGAGGTCCGCATCATTTGGATTGCGTGCTTCCGTCCCATGGACAACATGCCAGCAACTTCTCTGTGTCAAGTATGAACGCAACATTGCCTTTTACAGGTCGAAACCGCCTTCTTCTTCATTCTTCGGTGGCTTGTTGCTGCCAGCCACTCGTCTGTCAGGAGATTCTGCTTGTGCTGCCGGGCCAGCAGCTTGGCCTTGGACAGCGATGCTTGAACAGGTAAATAGGGCTTGGGATCATACCCTGAGAGCGTCTCTGCCCTCCGAGCGCTCTTCGGCACTTCTAGAATTTGCGTACGACTGACTTGTGTAGTGGTGGCGAACGGAGGATGCGAAAGGGCAGGCACCTGTAGTAAAGATGCAGCGGGGCCGCCATAGCTTTAGCTTCAGAAAAAGACGTCTGACTCAAAGAGTCACTTATACTAAGTTCCTTATCCGAAGGACACTTACAGCCCACGACCAGGGCTCATAGTTAATACCTTAACTTTCATGCTTCAAAACTACAAGTGATGTATTTACTATTATTGCGGCCAAGCCGCCTAGTGGTAAATGTATCTATTTGACTATCTAGCATTGTTAAACCTAATCAAATGCATAACGTGTGGCTTTCAGCTAACGTGCTGAGTAACCTTGTTAACTCTCCAACTTATTTAATGAGAGTTTGTTAGCTATCCAGGTACTCCGTACCCCTGTGAGCTTCACACCATGTAACCCCGTTACACTCTCCCTTACTAAGACGAGAGCATTTCGATCTCGAAACTTCCTAAGCGAGGTCACGTCTTGGCAAGACGGCGGTGGTCACCAGACCTCACTTCTGCGTTCTGCAGCTCCGCGAGCTCACAAACACTTTCACATCCATGATGCCTGGCACCTCAGCTCCGGCCCACGGCCAAACGTTTCCGGCGCGTCGCGCCACCGCTGTCCCGACGGCCCCAGACCCACAAATGCGTTCCCCAACTGATCCAAGAGCGTATTCTTATCTCTCCGTGGGGGAATAACACCAAGGGT